ATCCACAGCATAAAGGGGTGATGGTGCTGGTGGGCTTCCAGACAGATGTCTGACCAATGCGCTTGTGATTTGTCGGGGTTCATAATTATGGGAGCCATTTTCTTAAAATAACCATCATTCTACAGCTAGACAGATAGCTAGATAATCTCTCTCTCTCTCTCTTTCATCATTTTATATATATATATATAATCACTGGTTTTGCTTATCTAGAGAAATGAGACTAAGGCAAGGATCCAGCCCTTTGACTATCACTACCACCAGCATGCAGACTTGATTCAACTTCCTTTATGGACTCTCTTACAATGCGTTCAATTATACTTCCTTGTCCTGAGGACTATATGAAGACTTTGAACAATTAAATATATAATTGGCAGTGATTTTTCTATCATCCACTATTAGTGGTATAAAATCCTGAGAACAAATGTGTGGGCATCCAACAATGTATCGATTCTAGCTCCTGTTTTTTAGTATACTCTAAATAACATCAATTATAAGAAATATCAGGGACCAACTAGTGATTAAGCACTTTCTTTCCCACTTTATACATAAAAATACCTCCAGCTGTATCTTCTTCTCATATTTCAGTGAAGGCTACTACATTTTTTTCTAAAATATTTCATTCTGATATAACCTAAACTTTTCCATTTTAATTATTTGAATTAAAACATATGCAAATCAATTTAGGTCCTTTATTTATATGCACAATGATTTATGATAGTCATTAATATTTACTTTCAAAGCTTTTCATTACTCCAAAGAGAAACTCTGTCCCCATGAAGCACTAACTCCCCATCTTCGCCACCACCTCACCTCCCACTCTTAGTAACTCGTCAACTTTCCGTCTTTATGCATTTGTTTATTTTACGTACTTCATATAAGAGGACCAGTCAATATTTGACCTCTTGTGTCTGGCTTATTAATCAGACTTCATCAGAATAACTTTCAAAGTTCATTCATGTCACAGCGCTTCAAAATTTTACTTCTCTTTGTGATTGAACAGTATTCGGCTATGTGGAATACCGAATTTGATTTCTCCTTTAATCTGTGGATGGACATGTGCATTATTTTGTCCCAATTCATTTGTCATTTTCTCAGTCAGTCCCTGCCCACAAAATTTAAATAGTTCCAGCCAGTTGTAGTCATCATATTCCTTTTCTTTGTAGCCCTTAACCTAATTTGAAGTACATGCTCATTGTCTATATTCTTTTGAATAGCTATCGTAAAACAAACGTATAACCTCCCTGGGGGAATACATCTTGAATACTTTGCTCCCTGTGGAAATAGCCATTTCTACAAAAACCATCTGTCTGTGACTTATTTTGTTACTATTCTCTCCAAGGCTGCTGCTGGGTTTCAACTTTAAATACTCTGGAGGGGAGGCTGTTAGTGTCGCCGCCATGGCTTTGGGAGTTCTTGCTGTGTGCATTTTTAACTAGTTCCTGGCAATATATTCCTAGACATGGAACAATGGTATAACTTGAATCTTTCTGGTGGTCTTGTTTTTTGTAAAATGATCAAACCCTCGCTGTCTGGCAAAAGTTGTGACTTGTTATTTTTAAAGCTTTAACCCGCAAGTTTATGCTATTAGACTGTTATGAATCCATCTACTGTGAAGTGAAAGAGCCCTGGGAAAGGGCAGGCATCACATGCCTCTGGCAAGGGTGCAAGCTACCGGGCGGAGGGTTAGACTGCACCTCCATTGGCACCACATCATTTCATCGACCGCTCCTGATTTGCCAGACTCAAATACGGGCACAGGTTGGCCCATTCTCATTGGCCCCAAAGAATTTTTCTTGCTTCACCTCTGACCTAACTGGATTGCCTCCAACATCTGTGGTCAGCCTGAGAATGGATTCTCTTTGCAGGTCACTCTCTAATCATGGCAATACAGACAAAATTGGCCAACTAGGTAAACAATTTGACCTGACCATTCCAGCCAGTTACCAAACTGTTGCCAATTATAACAAGCTCCCAATAGAGAGAACTGACCTTAAAGAATGCAATGTGCTGGGATAGTCACCTAGTAAATATTACTGGATAGGATGACATGGAGACAGCAGGTTGGTGACCTCAGACCACATTGAGCCCTTAGTCATCTCTTTGAATATCACAGGACTTCTGATTAGTCATCCTTCAACAGTTAGTTGTGCTGGATAAGCCCAGCCTGGCACTCAGTAGGGTTTTCCTGTATAAGATCTGCCCGCAGCACATAATTGCCAATGTCTTTCCTCTGCATATAAAAGAGGATAATATAATTTCAATACATTCCCTTGCCTATTTCAGATGCCCAAAACACAGTTGGGCAAGCAAATATGAGTAGTTAACATAACGGATTCCATGCACTTTGTAAATGGCCCCATATTCCCACAATTGTTTTAGCTTGAATAAACTCTTAATTTTGTTCTGCATCCCTCAAGGTCTCTAAGAACTCAAGACCGCTTGGGCTGTTTAAGGATATGGATGTTGAATGTCTATCTGGGGCTGTTTCTCATAAGTCTGGGCAAATATTTCAAGATAAGTCATAAGCCCTGAATGATCTACAGGCCCCAAATAAAAACAGTTGCTGTCAAGTTGAGTGCAAGCCATGGTAACCCCCTTGTGCATCAGAGTGGAACTGTGCTCTACCAGGATTTCTGTGACTGATCTCAGATGACTGCACCTTTGCTTCCTTGGCACTTCGGGACCCACACCAGACTCCCAGGGAGAAACTAGCTGTGGAGTGAATACGGTACTTCTATGCACACCACAGGCTTGGCAGACGGTCTTTCCAGCACTGGATTAATTCCCCAGTAAAGGGGCTGGATTTGAGAGGTGCTTACTAGCCATCCAAGTAGTGAAGTCAAAAAGGTGGTCAAACATAGGAATCTAGTTCTGAAGGGAAAATTTGCACTGGAAGTAGAATTTGTGAATCATCAGTCTTGTGACTGATTAGGATTACCCAGAAGGCAAAGAACAACAATACAACCTAGGATTGGTCACACTTCCTAGAGTTCCCAGTTCAGCTTACAAATGCGGAGACAGGAGTCCAAAAGGGATCTCTTACAGCAAGTTACCATTTTACTGCAACATTGGCTCCCACTTGATTGTACTGGAAACCAACTGTCTAATTCCTAGATGCCCCATTGTGCCTTATTCCCAATCTTGTTGGAGTGTGTGTGTGTGTGTGCGCGCGCGCGCTAAGGAAGGGAAACATTTTAGCAGGGGACTTTTATGACAATCTTTGTCACAAAGGGCTAAGGAACTGGAAGTTTGAATCCACTCGGATGCACCTAGGAAGAAAGCTCTCCACTCAGCTCATCTGCGGAAAGATCACAGCCATTGAAAACCCTGCGGGGTGAAGTACTCAGAGAGGCAATGTTTAAAAATTCAGGTTTACTCTGAATTCCCTCCAGACAATTTAAAAACGACTGTGTTGATTTAAGAAATAATGAACAACAACTGAACAAGCAGACCCGGAATTAACGAAGAAGTCTCAGAGGTGTTCCCGAAGCAGTTGCCAGCCCATCGCCAGATTACATTCCTCTGGCCTTAAGGTCAGCAGTCCAACGCTTACCCGACAGCGCCACCCAGGGATCTTTAGAGGAGGTGCAAGGAGGGAAAAGGTAGACCATCAATAAATGCTATGAGCTATACAAAGCCCATGTTTGAAGGAAGGGTGAGAGAGGGTAGAAAGGGGGAACCGGTTACAAGGATCTACATATAACTCCTCTGTGGGGGATGGACATCTGAAAAGTGAGTGAAGGGAGATGGCAGACAGTGTAAGATATGACAAAACAATAATAATTTATAAATTATCATGAGTTCATGAGGGAGGGGGAGCGGGGAAGTAGGGGAAAAATGAGCTAATATCAAGGGCTTAAGTAGAAAGCAAATGCTTTGAGAATTATGTGTACAAATGTGCTTGACACGATGGATGGATGGATGGATGGATGGATGGATGGATGGATGGATGGATGGATGGATGGTGACAAGTGTTGTATGCGCCCCCAATAAAGTGGTTTTTAAAAAAAAGAGGATCAGAGAAGTTCTCTTGGAGTAGATCTGTGTCCCGGACATTTGAGGATGGAATGAATGTCCTTGGTAGTATTTCGATGGAAGGTTTTCATACAAAGGAACACAAGGAACAAATCCTCAGCTGGGAGAAAACTGAATCAAACGGACTTGATTCCCTTTTGAGAGAGAAAGAGAGAGAGAGTTGTTTTACTTTGAATTGGATGAAGGTTAACAGAGCCGAGCGACCATCAGGTTTACATTGGACAGTCTGTACACACTTACTACAACTCATCCATTGCTGTCCCCTCAGTCACGTATCCCACTTCCTCCCTTTTCCTTTTTCCACCCATCCTTTCTTAACCCCTTTGAACTTTGTCCTTGGGTACATTGTGTGGTTTTTTAGCTCCACGTGAAAAAGCACATTATTTGGGCAGCGCAGCAAGTCTCAGCTCCTGGAACTTGCTGTTCCCGCTGTGTGCTGTTCATTCCTGGAAGGTCGCCAGCAGGACACTAAGAACGCCAAAGGCAAAGAAGCGCATACTTTTGCAGGTCGCCAATTGGTTACTGTAAAAGCCCCGCTTTGCGCACACACCAATGAGCGCGGCGAGTCCAGATTCTTGGAAGTCATTTCTGATCCGGAATGCGTGACATTGAGAGAGTCTCAGACTTGTAAACAAGGACGAGTCTGGGCGGGCCCCGACCCACGCGCCCGGGCGCCTGTCCCAGAGCTCGGATCCGGAGCGGACGTCCCTCCAGATGCGCGCTCGCTCTGCGCCCTTGGCCCACGGAGCTCCGCCAGCCCTACCCTCCCGAGACTGCGGTGCCAGGCCACTCCTCTCCTCCAGGGCTGTGACCAGGGCGGGGCCCAAAGTTCCTTTTCTCAGCTGATTGGCCCAACCCCAAGTTTAGGATGGGTTTCCCAGTCCCAGTGACTCCTCCCCGTAGGAGTGGGGGGAGAGTGCGGGGAGACACTTAAAAGCAGCGCAGCTGGCTGGTGTGGCAAAAGGCGACCTTGGGTCTCCACGCACGGTCCGCTCTTGCTCTCCGCCCCGGGCACCACTGCCCTCTCGGACTCCCGCCAGGGCCGGTAGGAGCCGGTAGTGCACCTGCCTTTTCCCCTCTCGGGTTTGCACCCGCACGGCCTCGGGTCAGGATGAAGGCGGCCCGCTTCGTGGTGCGCAGCGCCGGCTCGCTGAGCAGCGGCCGCGTGGTCCCCCGCGAGGTGGAGCATTTCTCGCGCTACAGCCCGTCGCCGCTGTCCATGAAGCAGCTGCTGGACTTCGGTGAGCGGGGCCGAGACCCGGGAGGGAGGGTGGGCTTGGAAGGGCTGCGGGTGCGCGCTCTGCTACTACTTACTGTAAGGGATGTCCGTTTTGCAATTGAGGCCCTGAGCCTGGACAGCAGCTCACTTACCTGTTTCCTAAACTTGGCTTCCTTCCACCACCGTGTTCTGTTCGCATGGACAAAGGCCACCTGTCGCCCTCTGAGGCTGGATGGTGCTTGGCGCATCTTCTTCTTCATTCTGTCCACAGCTTCCAGTCGAGTTAGTTTTTGCTCTCGGTCATCACTAAAAAACCACACTAGTCAATGTATTCTCTTCAGAATCGGCACAGTGAACCCTGGTGGCTCAATGGTTACACGTTGGGCTGACGTTGGGCTGCTAACCACAAGGTCAGAAGTTCAAAACCACCAGCTGCTCCACTGGAGAAGGACAAGGCTTTCAACTCCGGTTAGTTACAGTCTCCAAAACTCATAGCAGCAGTTCTACCCTGCCCTACAGGGCTCACTACGAGTCAGAATTGATTCAGAATTGACTCGATGGCAGTGAGTTTTTGGCACAGTACTTCTTAGAGAAGATACACACATTATATATAGATATAATCGATTAAGTCACCTTCAATGGAGTGAGATTTTATCCTTCAGGATGCATCCTAACAGATTTCTTTGGCTCTCTATCGTGATCATTTTCCATGTATTTACATCACTGAGGGGCCACAGGCTTTGGTAATCTTATACAGAAAGTTTTCAGGTTTAAAGGTGATACTATACATCCTTAGTCTAGAAACATCACCATTCTCGCCCCACGCCAGCCGTAATTTTTATCTGAAAAGTAAATCAATATCATTTATTACAGGTTCAGAAAATGCATGTGAAAAAACGTCTTTTGCATTTTTGCGGCAAGAATTACCTGTGAGGCTAGCCAACATTCTGAAGGAAATCGACATTCTCCCTGATCAATTAATAAATACCTCTTCAGTGCAATTGGTTAAAAGCTGGTAGGTATCAAATCATTCTTCAACAGTCTCTAGTTGTAAGACAGTTACCTGATGTAACTTCTTATATTACCTTCATAATTGGAAGGCAGGTGATCCAAAGAGTAAATAATTTTGAAAAATATAAAGATTTTTCTTATTAATTTAGGGTCAGTTGTCTTAAGGACAGTTACAAAGCTATAAACAGACATTTTATCTTTAAAAAATTAGATACTTTTACAACATTATTCTACTTCCAGAATACAATATATATAAGCCATCTGACATTTAAATTTTGCATTATAAATAACAAATGAGGTTTGATATTGCTGAAGTAACTGTATGCCCCAAATGGGCACGATGACTTCATTTTTATTCAGGAACATTGGCAGTGCAGCGGGTTACATGTTGGGCTAGGGATCACAAAGTTCTGGGCTCAAATGAACAGGATGCTCCTTGAGAGCAAGATGTGATGTCAGTTTCCAGGAAGATGTACAGCCTAGGAAACCCTGTGGTGCAGCCCTGCTCTGCGCTCCACCATCACTTGCTGTGAGTCAGAACAGACTTGAGGGCAATTATTTTTCTTTTGTCTTTTAAATCTGTGTTACAGCTGAAGGGATCCACAGAGTGGACTCTGGGTTCAAACTCTGACAGGACCCTTCCCCTAGTTATTGGACCTTCTGCAATGATCCGCAGTACTCTGTGTCTCAGTCCCCATCTGCTATCGAGCATAAAATATATGCCTCAAGTGGACGGTTTTGTAAACAAATGAGGTAATTCATCAAAAGAGCACTTAGAACAGTACCTGGCGCATACCCAGGTCTTAGTCGATGTCAGCTAGTATCATCTCATTTTATCAACAATAATACTGAGATTAAGAGAGGGTAAATAAATCCAAAAAAGCAGATTTGGGGGAAAAGAGTCACTATAAAAATACATACTATAGCATCGCCCATGACACACACACAGACCACCTCCTACCCACCCCCGACACACACACACACACACACTCTCTCTCTCTCTCTATTGATTGCATAGCTTTTGTTCATTGGCTCAAAAAGTGTATGTATTATGCACTCTTAAAACAACCGCTAGGAGAAACTCTGATCTAATTGGTAGTATTTATTGCTATTTTCAAGACTTCTATTCTGCTATAAATGAATACGGTAAGAACAACCAAAAAGGTCTTTGAAAAAAATTTATTTCTAATTTTTTCCCATAAGAATCCCAAAATATTTGCCAAACAATAATATCAGAGAACAGAAATAAAGAAACCTAAAGTTGAAAATTGAGGGTTAAAAGTTATAGCACTCTTATTTTTGGCATTCTGCTTTCCAAATTGTGCTGGGAGAAAAGTTTTGATGTTGAACATAAAGTGTACTTACTCTTTTCAAAGTATTTGAAAGGGGCAGTTTACTTTCCGCCTCTCGTACCTGGGTCTTCGATGTTACAGTTGAAAACACACTTGTCGCTTTGCAGGTATATCCAGAGCCTGCTGGACTTGGTGCAGTTCCAGGAGAAAAGTCCAGAGGACCAGAAAGCACTGTCTGAGTAAGCAAGCTTGGAATACATGTTTCAAACTTTGATGATTTACCATCATATTCCCAAGATCTCAAACTCAATTAAAGAAGTTTAAACTTTGAAAAACAAAGTACCCCCTCTTCAAGACAACAAGTTTTGGCTTACTCGTAGTTTAGAAGTGGTGGAGGTATAAGAAAAGGAACATGTATAGATGACTTACTTTTGTATGGTAAAAAAGCAAATCATTTTTTACTATAAAGATAGCTATGATTAAATTTGTGAGAGGATTTACTAGGATACAATAGTAATAGATTTCAGTGTCACTGAAGACTAAACATTCTCTTTCAAAATTTCTAATTATCTACATCGGCATCTTTTTAAAATATGACAAGAAAATAAAAATGTTTTTCCCCAGGATAGTATTTTAGGATTCATTTCAATATTAAATTTATTTTTTAAGGAGAACTCTTGCTAACATTTTAATGAACACTTATAATGATGAATGTTTCCATTACAGAACTAGATAATGTATGCACATCAACTGGAAGCAAGGGAGAATTAAAAAAAAATGTGTGTCTGAAACTGCCTACCATGGTAAAATAATCTATAGTAAAAAACTAGTAAAAACCCTAATGTTTTATTATTTGATTTGTTTGGACAGCTGTTAAAAAAGAATTTTACTCTTCTTTGAAGTAATACAGTAAGATCGTTGAATAAGGCTTATTTGAGCTTTCACTAACTATAAATGTTATGGCTTAGTTTTATAGATACACTCATCAAAGTTCGAAATAGACACCATGATGTCGTGCCTACAATGGCACAGGGAGTCATAGACTATAAAGATGTCTCTACTGTTGACATAGTCGCCAATCAAAATCTTCAGTATTTCTTGGATCGATTTTACATGAACCGTATTTCTACTCGGATGCTGATGAACCAACACAGTACGTTAACTTATCGTGCTCATCTGACAAAGAAATGGGCGTAAAAATAAACCAACCTGTAACCAGATATTTCACAAATTGATGGGTATCATTCTTTCTCTTGGGAGTTCTAATAGCTACTATGCTAATCTTTGGACTTTTTGTTTTTTAACAGTTCTTATATTTAATGGTTCACAGTCAGGAAATCCCAGCCACATTGGAAGCATTGATCCGAACTGTGATGTGGTTGCAGTGATCCAAGGTAGGGTTGAAATGTTTGCATTTCCTTCATTAAAAATGTGTAATATACCACAGACATATCCTTCATTGTGGTGACTCTAGGAATTTATATTTGTAAATCCTGTCATCAAAATTCTTTGCGCTTGAGAGTCAGGCATTTAGACATGGAATTATGATGTTCTAAAAATTGAGCACTAGCTGTCCACATGCCATTTTCTTGTCGTGTGCATTTAATCTCTGAAGTGCATATATTCCTGTTGCTTTCAGATATTGCCTTAAATTTTTCTTCAAGTAAGTAAAATAGCATAAAGGGATATTTTTCTTTCTCTAAAGTAGTGACTATTTTTCCTTAAGTGAACTATAGCACACTGAGAATCACTTGAGAATGTTACTTGGCACAAATTCATTTTATTGTAATGATTAAATTTCTCTCCTAGATGCCTATGAGTGTTCCAGGATGCTCTGTGATCAATACTACTTAACATCTCCAGAGTTAAAGCTCTCACAATTGAATGGTAAGTTATAAATAAAGTTTACCTTAATCCAGGCAAAATTCAATATTAGCCTGGTAGGATTTTTTGGTTTGGGTTTTGTTTTTTTTTACTGATGTCAAGCAACTGTAGTGTTCCTTCCCCGACCCCTGACTTTTTAATTTACACACGCTTGTTAAACTTTCAAAGCCAGGCTTCTTTTCCATCTGGTCCACTAGGAAGCTCCAATTGCGCATATTCACTTGCTAATGATAATTCAAAAAGCAGGATGATTTAAACAACTAATTTGAGATTTATAGTATCCACGAGGTTTTGAGGTTTTGATTATCTTTAGATCAAAGAAAGATTGCTTACTAATTCAAGGTGCCTACAGATTTCGAAAAAACGAGGACCCCAAGAATGGGGACCATCACTGAGGGGAAAGAAGATCCCATTGACCTGGAATGAATAAAAGCCTCTCCCCGGTAGTGTGAGTGTGGCCGCTGTTTCGGTAGCGGAACAAACGTCAAAAGCATCAACTTTAGGTTATCTGAAAAGACAAACGTCTTCCTAAGTTGATCCCATGCTGAATTCAAGGCCTTATTTTTATCCCATTCCATTGTATTCCAGAAGACTGCCTAATATAGTTAAATCAGAATAACCTTCTCCTTTTAATTCAAAGTAAACATCTTTCCCAATTAATGTATAGAAGAATAATGGTTCTTAGTGGTCAGAATTAAAATCAGGTCTTTGATACTGAGAGAGTGGCCTGACTCTTAGATTGCGGGAAGACAAATAATAACTGCAGGCTGAACTAAAAGCGAAAGTACAAGGAGAGGTTGAAAAATATTTCTAACCACAAATAGAGCTGTTGCATAATACTTGTAGATAAACTGCCTGAACTGTTAGATAAAAGAAAGAGGGAATTGTAGGCCAGGCCTTATGTTTGCCCATTCAAACATTGCCAAGGCCTGGCACACTGAAGAAGACAAGCAGCATTGTGAGACCTTTGTATCTGTTTTGTTAAGCCTCTTGGTGAAAAGTAAGCATATTTAGTTTAGAGCATTTAATGTTTGGTTGGTATAATTATTAAATATAACCCATTGTGTTATTGGTTTTGATAATATAACATTTATAGCTAACATTAATTTAAATTTTAAACTAAAAACACTTTTTTATTCTTTTGAAATGCATGTAAGATTAACTTTGGAATTCTCTACTACAAAAGCATTGTAAATAGGAACAACCAATATAATCTAGTTTATAGTACTATTGTTTCATAATTCATTTTACCTTATACATTTGCAGAGAAATGCAAATATCCGTCATAGAGAAAGAGGTAGCGACTGTAATAGCATTTTGAACATAACCCATCATCTTTAGTGTTTATTTAATTGAGAAAGCTTCAGGGTGGAGTTTTAGGTTAGGGATAATGGGAAATATTCCAGCATTGTTTGCATTTAAAGTATCTCTCTCTCTCTCTCTCTCTCTCTCTCTCTCTCTCTCTCTCTCTCTCTATATATATATATATATATATATATATATATATATATATATATATATCTTAATCCAGCCTCAAAAAAGCTCACTGGTTTTATTTTTATTTCACTCATCCTTCCCTGAGATATATATACATATATCGTAATATCGTATATACTCATGTATAAGCCAGGTTTTTCAACACATTTTTTAATGCAGTTTTTGTGGCAAAATTAGGTACCTAGGCTGATATTTGGGTTGGCTTATACTCAAAGATATACAGTATAGATGTATATGTATATACATAGGAGAGATTTATTTTAACAAAATATTTGTTTCCTACTTCTAAATGAGTTTCATTTTTCTAGGAAAATCTCCTGGCCAACCAATTCACATTGTGTATGTTCCTTCTCACCTTCATCATATTCTCTTTGAACTATTCAAGGTAAGAGACCGCACAATAATTGCAATTTTGTCTTGAAAAACAAGCTCACTGGTTTTATTTTATTTCATTCATCCTTCCCTTCTAACTAGGAGCCACACTCCCTTCTTCATTCTCTTAAGACAAAGAAGCCATGTTTAGTGTTTCAAAAGGTGCTTGCAGTTCACTGGAGCATCAGCCTGTATTTGTGAATTCATAGCATCTCAATCCTTTAGAGCTGAGAAAATGTTCCCATTCTTTCACCAGGTGTCCACCGAAGCCTTGGTCATGCATGCACTCATTCATGAACATCACGGGATGAATACTTCAGTGAATGAGGCTTTGTACCTCCACCCCCTTAGTCTGGTTCAGCGCCAAACCCAGAGACTTAGGGCCAGAATTACTGTGCACGACACGGTCTCAAATATATAGTCAGAGGGCAGCCAACTCCTTCAGGGAGCTACTTTAATGTGCATAGGACTCACTTGGGGATTTTGTTAAAATGGAGATACAGCTTCATTATGCCTGGTGGTTGGGGGAGATGGCTGATATGCCCTATTTCTGAGACAAGGGTTTCTACTCCAGTAAAGATTTACAGTCTCAGAACCCCACAGGGGCAGTTCTCTGTTTTATGGGGTCTCTATTCTCTATGAGTTGAATCAACTCAACGGCAGCGAGGTGGTGAACAAGCTCTCAAGTGATGCTAAGGCTACTGGCCTAGGATATTCAGGTGCTAGAATCAAATCCTCTGCTAAGTCCTAGACCAAACAAAAATCTGGAGTTTTTACCCAAAAGTAAAAAATGAAGTGAAGCTTTGCCACGCTTCCCAAGAGTCCTCTGGACTGGAGACAAATAAGTCTAAAGGCAGTGATATTTGCCTCTACATCTGATAAATTCTTTCCAGAGCTTACTGTTTCCTAACTTGTTCTAATATTGGTGCAGTGAAGTATTGCTTGTACTACAAACACCTGCAGTATTTTATTTTGCTTCAGCTAAGGACTTGAAAACATGTAGAAACAAAAAGCAGATAACCTGTCAAAGGCTTTATTTGTATGAGATGCATCCAGTTGGCTAAAAACTTGTTATAGTTTCTTTTGAGATAGTTTCTTGGTTTATTTTCATTTAAATAGTGCAACTCAAAGTTATTTTGTCAGATTATAATCAAATGCAAATTAAAATTTAATTTATAAATATTTACTATTATTTTAAATAGTAACAGCCTTTTCCCAGCAAATTGTACAAAAGCTAACAAATTAATTCAATGATTCACTGTGCATTTGTTATGATTGGATCTAAAAAGCAATGAAAAGGCAGAAAAGGGAGAGCTAAGGAAACGCACTATAGAAACCAATTTTTTCATTTAAATTAAACTTACAAATAAGAATTTGACAGCTAGCAGAATTGGCTTTCCATTAGCTATTACTCCCAGGAGCAAAATTAAATGGTAAATGAGGACTTTTCATTACACATCCCACAAGACACATTCATAAATGGCTATTTATAAAGCTGCTCTCCTCCTAATTTTTGGAAAAGGGAACTTTAACATACTCTTTGTACGACTCTTACTTTTAGCATAAAAGGAGAAATTATTCATTGCCGCTCATTTTTCTCTCATTGAGTTCCTAACGGGCTTGTCTTCCATAGAATGCAATGAGGGCAACGGTTGAAACCCAGGAGCATTTGCCTGCCCTTACACCAGTTGAGGTGATGGTGGTTTTGGGGAAAGAAGACCTTACAATTAAGGTAAACAGTCTGCCTCTCTCCTGGGTCTCTCTGGAGGTACTTTTTCAAAGGTCAATAGTAATAAAGATCTCTGCTTTGGGTAGCAGGTCAAAGTCACATCCACCAAATGACTTTTAAATGAAGGAAAGGTATTGCGACGTACACGAATGCATGTGGTTTTTCACATATATCTCTGTTACCTCCTTTCTCTGTGGAAGATTTCAGACAGAGGAGGTGGTGTTCCTCTGAGAGTCACGGACCGCCTGTTTAGTTACATGTACTCCACCGCCCCGACCCCGGTGATGGATAATTCCCGGAATGCTCCTTTGGTAAGCCCCATTCGATAGCTTAATTTATTCTACTCACATAAGGCTTACAAGGGATTGCAAGGAAATAGTTGAGCAATTTAATTGATTTCATTCAGTTAGATGTGGGATGCGTGCAAAAGAATGCTAAAACGAACTGAAAATAGTGAACCAGATCTCCAAGAGGCTCCCGGCGGGAAGCATAGAGGTCCATCTAGTGGTCAGTGAGGGTAATGAATCTTTACTACTTGTGGTATTCCAATGATCACGGACATCTGTTTACCAATCTTCTTCTACTTCCTAGGCTGGCTTTGGTTACGGCTTGCCAATTTCTCGTCTTTATGCCAAGTATTTTCAAGGAGATCTGAACGTCTACTCTTTGTCAGGGTATGGGACAGATGCTATCATCTACTTAAAGGTATCCTTTGAATCTCACAGTAAAATGTGATTTCTATAAAGATTGCATCCTTTACAACTCTCAGTTCTGTGGTTCATAGTGAATTCTCCACACCGCGTTAGTGAAAATAAGGACCACAAGTCATTCCACTTTGTTTGGATAGGGGTAGAGATGCTATTTAATATAGTTATGCTGCTTACCAGCGGGGGAGCTGGAACAGGCTACCTGCCTCAGGTGAAGAAATGCTGTCTCTCAAAAGGCTGCCTACCAAAGTTGCATAGGGAGACCATCCCTGTGTGAACTTTTAAAAGGAACCCTTTGGGGCATCTGTAAGAATAGCTGCACTTCCATGTGATTTGCACATGTGGGGATATATGCTAATGATGTTCCCATCTAGAAAACAACAGAGATGAAGATACTTGAGACCTGAAGCAGATCCTCTTAGGCAAACAGAGAAAGGAAAGCTGATCACTCCCCATCTGTCAGTGGGATGCCAGGCATTTCCTGTCGACACTTTAAAAGTTGCCACATGTTTTTGTCTAATTCTGCTACAGCATCAATTTATTTGTTAAGGTCACTGTCCTCATTCTGTTAATCGTTTGCCAACTATTTCCACTATAAATACATTTGCAAATATTAGCTACCAAAACATTGAGCTTCCAAATTCCCATCTTGTACATTGGCATTATTTGCCAAATAGCTTTTGACCATCTCATTTGGTTAATGCCTTGATTTCTGAAATAAGAAAAATCATCAAACTTTTGGGAAAAGAGCTTTGATTACAGCTTAATAGTATTCAGATAGGCTTCTCCCTTTATCACAGACACAGAGGTTTTGCCGAGGAAGAATGGCTTTGCTGTCCAACTCTCTCCTATTCACGACAGCTGAACAAGGCGGTGTGTAAACTCTATCAACAATATCATTTGTATTTGGGTAGTCATACTTTGGATGCTATATTAAAACAACAACTAAACAGGGGCCCTAGTAGTTACAAATTTGGCTACAAACCACAAAGTTAGGCAGTTCAAAACTATTAGCCATTCCACAAGAGAAAGGCAGACTTTCTACTCCCATAGAGAGTTACAATCTCAGAAACCTACAGGGGTAGTTCTACCCTGTCCTATAGGGTGATGTTAAACCTTATAAGCTACACCATTTGTATTTTGATATTTATGACTTCAACTGCTATAAGGTGATATTCATATTTATTTTTCAATTTTGTTTTATATAGCACCTAGCACATGGTGAGTTCTTTTACTATGTTGCTAAATCAATTGAAAGAATGTAGTTGAAAAAGAAAATATTTTTTATCACATCAAGTGCAACTTATGGCATGAATAATTTCTTTCATCTGACTTTTTTCCCCCTCTCCTCTCTTTCAGGCATTATCTTCGGAGTCGATAGAAAAGCTCCCTGTTTTTAACAAGTCAGCCTTTAAGCATTACCAGATGAGCTCAGAGGCTGATGACTGGTGTGTCCCTAGTAAGGAACCAAAGAGCCTAGGGAAGGCCAAAGCAGCCGCGTAAAGAAAGACACCTGCACATCTGAAGGGATCAAAACGATTGTCCACCGGTGCCGTGTCCTGCATGTTCCCATGTAATCCCGTGTTTCCTCCAAAGCAAACAACAGTGACCGAAACGCCTTGATCAGAACACTGGTTACGGGGGACGGAGGCTTGTTTCGGTGACAGCGGACAGCACGGTGCACAGCCACAGGAGGCCTCCGTTCGTTTCATTTCACTTAGGATCACTCATGAGTTTCAGTAAGTCCTGCAGAAGACCTGGCCCTCAGGCTCCTTTCTCTCACTGAAGACCAGGAAAGGGGCCCCAGTGAAGACATAGGTCCCCAGCTTTAATACGCTGAGCTTGTTGGACCTCTATTGATGTCATAAGATACTGCTGTTCATTGGAAGTCACTTATCAATGTTTCAGTATTTTCCTGCCATTCAGAGGATTTAGGCTGAGTTTATAATATGTGCTTAGAAATGCACGTGAGGGTACATTCCCTGTACCTCTCTGTGCTCTAGGGAGAAGAAGCTGGAGACTGGAACAACATTCACCTTTGAGCTAGTAAGAAAGAATGTAAATATCTCATTCAGAGTCACCAGGCATATGTAAAAACTCAGAAGGAAGCCTCTTCTGATAAATGCACTTCCTTTCTTATGCTGCTTTTTGTATTCACACTACAAAGTGAACATTTATTGACAGAGGCCTACTCTTGGATGAGTTTTTCAATATATACTCGATTCCGGATACTGGATGTTCGTGAAAAAGAATTGTCAAAGTGATACCAACCACATCTCTATCCCTCTCTCTCTTTCTCTGGAGGGTGAACGATAGACAGACAGACAGCGAGAGTGCACACACACACACACACACTCAAATGAAACAGCAGGTTGGTAAAACCATGGTTAGGTAAAGGAGTCATGTATTCACAACACAACTCCTCAGAAAGGGTAGTTCTCTCCCTTGCATTGGTAATAATCCAAAGAAATCTATTTTCTAGGTTTGCACAGAGGTATTTTCTATGTCTAACTATTCCCTGTCCACTCCATCAACATACCTGTAAAAAAAAAAACTCTAATAGTCAAATGTCTCAAGAACATTAGGAATTAAATAGTTCTTGAAGTATTTTTAACAAACATCCCAGAAGTTAGAGTTCTCTTGCCAGGATGCATTCACTTGTGAGTCACTGAAATTGAGAGCTATCGAAGGCAAGTGATAATGCCTATGGGATTTAGGGGGGATTGCGGGCATATAATACACAGACTGACAGGTCAGTTTCGAAGGGTACTCAGGAGGAAAATGGGAAGGAAGAAAGACAGTAAGGGAAGAAAGCCGTAGGCAGGCATTTTGCCAATTTTCACACAAATTAATTTCAATAAATGACCCATGTTCTCCTGTATAAATTATCAGCAAGAGGATGAATTGGTGGTTCTCAAAACCAGTATGACAAAAAAATTAAAATCCAATATGACTTCTTGAAATGCCTCTTACTGCTTTAATAAGATACCAGATGCTACAATAAGCTTACCTGTGTCAACTACATGTTTAAATGAGAATCTAGAAATTAAGTAGGATTTCTGCACTGTGAAATAATTGGTACTGTCTATATGTTGAATTTAGCATTTTTGTTTAATTTTGTGATGGCTTGGAGTTGTGATTGTGTTAGTAACAATGGAAGCCTAAGATTATTTGCTGTGGATTTTGGATTTTATCCTCAGTGATTTTCATGATCTTGGGATGCTGGGTTACATGTTTATTTATTACATAAAGCTATTTGTAATAGGTCATTTGACTTTTCATTTTTTACTGAATCTGAACTGAAACATTTTTTGCATATAAATACTTGCATTTACCAAAGATTTAAAGCTGTTTACTAGGTATTTCATGCAAACATTGTGAACTATTTTTAAAACACTAGAGAACAGAGTGTGTAGCTAGAGCCCCATAGATTACCCATCTCCCGGGCTGGCATTGTACAACCCAGGGAAGAACCCTTGTAAACTAGTGATGTGAAATTGTGCTTTTGTACTTAGGCTATGTGTAGAAAAGTGTGGTAAATTTTATAATAAATATTTTTGCTATCATGGAAGCCATGGTTTTTGTTATTTTCTTAAATTACCGACAAAGGACAAGAAGAAATTTAGGTTTACCTCACTTTGCATTGAAGTTTAATTTAGCCACCTATTATACTTAGTCCTTTAAAAGTATTGTAAGGAACTAAAAATAAAAAGACTTTAAAAAAAAAGAAGTCCTTTATAGCAATACAGAAATGCCTGATTAGTCTTTGAGTGTGCTCAACCCGAATAGGTAATTCCATGTCCTTCTCCACATTTGATACGCTTGTACTCAATCATCATTTTTATGACATATGTTCACTTCCTTTTTCATAAACATACTCGTTTCACTTTACATCTTTGCTTATATAGCAAACATAGTGGAGTCCCAAAATAATTACCATTGGATTTAATACCTGAAATGCTATCTAAATAAGACAGACATGGGGTAGAAATGAGTAAATTCATGTGTGGCACTAGTTATTATTGCTGTCTTGACAACCCTTTTTACTAGTTCAAGCCAGCTTAATCTTTGCTTTTGGTCTTTTCACTGTTTGTGAATTAGGTGAGAGCTTACACATCAGACCATCATTTTGCCATTCAATAACTTAAAGCAACATCTCAAACATACCGAAAGATCCTCTGTCTTGTCTGCCCCACCCCCGTTTATTTCCCAATCTTTGAACAGGACCCCTGGTGCTGCAGGGTCTCTCCCTGGCTGTCTGCCTTCTGTAAGGATTTAGAGCCTGGGAAACCCTCTAGGGCCTTTCTGCTCTGACCGATAGCATCTAGATGACAGATGAGAGTGGGGATCTACACAGCATCCTTTGCCTTCCTCCATAGCTTTCTTACTTGTAAGACTCCATGACTTCACAAAAAACACTCTTCTTTTACTCCAAACCAAAATCCAAACTCATTGCTCTCAGCTCAATGCTGACCCCTGTGGGTTTCTGAGACTAACTGTTTACAGGAGTAGACAGTCTCCCACAGAGCTGCTGGTGGTTTCGAGCTGCTGACCACGCACGCAGGCCACAGCCCAACACATTAACCACTACACCACCAGGGTTTCCCCTAGAATGCCTTTATTCTGACACGGAAGTTGTACACTATCTATGTGTAACACACACTCATAGTGGATTTAGCGTGGATTAAATGCTGAAGAGCTAGGGAGTTAGTACAGCCCATACAGTCTCAGAACCCTCACTCACTCCAAATAGTTGCAAGACTTTTAGTCCCAAGTGCCTCCATCTATACAAAAATAGATACATTTTTTTATTCAAGGGGTGTACTGCCCGATGCTAATTTTGAAGTCAATAAAGTGTGTCAAATTTTCAACAAAATTTTTCAATATCGTTTCTCCAAAGTTTCAAATTTGACTAGAAAGAAGAGCATTTGACCTTATCTACCACAAAATATGAAAAGAGACAGAGACCATTGTGAGCTGGTAGCTTTGATATTAATCTCGATCCTTTCTCTACTATTCTAATATACTTTTAGCAACTGTACTTATAGTTAAATGTATGCCAAATCCCATGTATTGAAAACATATAGAGAAACTCGAGGGCACTTTTGTACATCCTGGTGGAAGGATTGGGGGACTGCTATGATCTCCTAGGAAGCCCTGAGCTCATCCCATGAGCATCTAAAGCAGAAAAGAAAACTGTCTCCATTAGGATATATTTTGTCTTCAATTTATCACTTTTGAAACTATATCATAGTTACTTAGGCACTCACCTAACATCTCCTGAATAAATAAGTGCATGAATGAATGAATCAGTAGATATATACACAGTTTTCCCTAGGACACCCTACTTGAATTGAAGGGCAGGTTGGAACCTGGGGTTAAATGATTGTACATCCAACTTTATAAGGTTTTTTTGTTTTGCTTCATACTCGTGTTATACAACACTGTAGAAACTCTAGCTTCTGTTTCCAACCCTTTGTTTAATGTCACCCTTCATTAGTGATCTTTGACCATAGAAAATTTTTACATATTTCACAAGCAATTAAATAATGAGTGCAAGTTATGACCATTCAGAAAATTTCTTGAGCAAGTGAATTGGAATGTCAGATTTCATATAAATAGTCTTCCTTCTTACTCACTGTGGATTCAAAGGAAAACATATTACCATTCATATTCCATGGCCTTTAATGGAAAGCAGTGACTGTCTTTTAATGGAATTTTTCAGTTCCTACCCAAATGCAAATAAACATTAAAAGGCACTCAAAGCCAACCGAAATGTCAGTAGCCTCGAAAACATGTTAAATCAATTGAGTGATGTGGAAATGCTCTGAGCTGTCTCTGTGATAACTCTGGCAACAAAACAGTAAAGTTCATCAACAAACTATGAGCCATCACTTTTAGGTTTTACTGCTACTTACTGAGCGTAATAAAAACAACCCAAGGCTGGTTATCAAATAATGCCACATAGGTAGGAATGATTTATTGCCATGCAGCTTTCCTTGCCTGTAAAGGGCTGCCTTGTGCCTATGCCTAATAGCCTACAGAGTGGGAAAATCCTGATCCTTTTATCAATTACATCACGATGGCATCCTTCATTTGTTTCTAGCCCCAAAATGTACATTGCCGTGATTCAGAATGCCCTTAATGTCCTTTTCCTTTAAGTTCATTTTGAGTACTAGTCAATAGTGTTCAAATGGGTGGTCTGGAAAAAGAAATAAAATGTAAATGACAATAACAAATCTTTATAGCATGTTTTTAGGCATTGCTTTTTATTTATTTTGTTCCTCAGTTTTTACCTAAATGAAGAAATTGGTCTAGACATGTAAGGGAGACACTTCCGATTCTAAAGTGCTTGAATCGGTATTTTCTTATAGCTGTTTACTGAATACTCTGCCTCTTCCCACTCCCCTTCAGCTGCTGCCCACCCTACACAAGTGCACCATTGCAGCCCATAGAACTTTACTGGATAATTTTCAGCCAGAGACCTGCAGACCTTTGTTCCCAATCTTAGTTTTGCTATATGGCTGAAACTTGTTGCGCATCATAACAACATACAATGCCCACTGCCTAACGTATAGCAGGCTTCAAACATATTTCTTGACATATGCTTTTGATGAGTTGGGAAGACAGACAAAAATAATCAGATCATTCTCAACTGAGCAGATTATTGTATTGAGGCAAAACCAAACTGTATCTCAATATTTTTCATAATCCCTTTTTGTCACTTGTTCTCCACCTGGGAAGGATCAGTATTCATTTCTTGGTGGGCCATGGCTGTAACACAAAGGGAGTTTCAAAAGGCTAGAGAGAAATCCCATGATCTTTTCATTCCATTTTTTCACAAACTTTTTGAAGCACCCTCATATACCCCAACCAAAGCCTACTGCTACCGAGTCCATTCCAATATATAGCAATCCTCTAAAGTATTTCTGAGGCTGTAAATTTATATCAGAGCAGATAACCTCAACTTTTTCCCACTGAGAAGGTGGTGGGTTTGAACTACCGAACTTGAAGTAAGCAGTGCCAAGAACACCACCCTGGCTCCAACATGTGCATCACATCTCCGGCCATGGTGAAAAGTCAAACTGGAGCTCCACTAAAGGTAGTTTGAATGTCTGGTTGCAGCAGGACATTAACAGAGAAATGACAAATTCAAGCTGGATTAATAAAAGGATTTGGCAGCAAGAGGGATATCATTGGTGATGTCAGATGAATCTTGGCTAAGAGCAGAATATCAGAAAGATGTCTACTTGTGTTTTATTGACTCTGCAAAGGCATTGTACTCTGTGGATTATAACAAACTATGAATAACATTGATAGATGGAGAAGCGATCAAAGTTGTCAAGAAAGTCATCTCGCTTGGATCCACAGTCAATGTTCACGGAAGCAACAGTTATGAAATCAAACAATACATTGCATCAACAAATTTGCTGCACAAGATTTCTTCAGTAAAGACTTGGAAAGAAGGATGTCACTTTGAAGACTAAGGTGAGCCTGACCCAAGCTACGGCGCTTTGAGTCACCTCGTGTGAAAGCTGAGCAATGAAAGAAGGCTGAAGAGGAATGGGTGTGTTGGACTGATGGTATTGGCAAAGAATACTGAAAGTCCCGTGGACTGCCAGGAGAACGAGCATCTCTGTCTTGGAGGAAAAGCAGCACAGCCTGAGTGCTCTGAGGATCAAGGGCCGTGAGATGCAGCATGTTCTCAGGAGAGACCAGACCCTAGAAAAGGTCAGCATGCCATGTAACGTAGACGGTCAATGATGAGGATCAAGGGGCTTGAGACGCAGCATGTTCTCAGGAGAGACCAGACCCTAGAAAAGGTCAGCATGCCGTGTAACGTAGACGGTCAATGAAAAAGAGGAAGACCCTCGACGAGCTAGACTGGCAGTGACGTTGTGGGCTCAAACGTAACAAGGATTTTGAGCAGGATGCAGGGCTGGCTGTGCACCATTCCGTTGTGTATCAGGGTGCTACAAGTCCGGCTTCATGAAGAACCGACTTCATGACACCCAACAACAAACGTCTTTGAAAAATATAATTTGGCACCTGGGAGCTTTTCGATAGATACTAGGTTTTTGCTCAATATTTTTGTTTAAGTATTAAATACTGAATTGCTAGCAATAAAAATAAATTGTCCTTCAGATGGGAAGTCATACAGGGTGAGTATGCAATTTCAGTGATAGTTAGAAATTTGCTGTGGCATACTCTGCTATGCAATTATAAGCTGGGACTCGAGTTTAGTTCAAAGTATAATGTGGGTCTCCAAACTGCTGAGTACCACTGAAACCTGTTCATGCAGAGATCAAATGCAGGCCTTGGCCTCTTGAGCATCACTGCCCAACCAAGCATTGGGTAGATAGTGGTGTCATATATTGCCTAATGAATGCCATTCACTCTGTTAACTTCCTTTTAGATCCCCGTAACAGGGTCTATTGGCCCTGAAAACTGGCTTACTGCCGGTTATAAACAAACACACAGATGGGCCTAACATAGTACTTTGCCCAAAGCACACTTTCAATAATAGTTTGTCAAATAGATGAAAAGAGACTTAAGCCATTAAAGTAACTA